CGGGTGACTAGCCCTGAGAGCCTTACCAGAGCCCATCTTAGCCGTCAGAGTTGACGTTTACATCCGACACTACGTGGAAGTGAAGAGTTGGATTTTGTCGGACTATTGGTAGGAAATAAAGCATTAAATACACGTAATAATGTCTTTTGTGGATCAATATTTGATAATGACATTAATGTCACTTCTGATAAACCAAAAGTAACAGCTAATTCAGCATTTGTTCGCCTGTCTTCATCTGTTTCACTGTTCTTTAATGATTGTAACAATTGCTCAAGAAATAAACGTCCATCAACACTTGGTCGAGCTAAAGAAAAAGCAAATGAAACCGAATTATGAAATGCAAGATATTGCTACATACGAAATGAAGTTTGTTGAAGCTCTTTCATTCTTAGCGTTAATGTTCTATAATCTTCTGCCCAAGCTTCATTTTGTTTTGATACACGTTCAAAATTTCGTCTCAATTCATGATATTCTGGAAATGTTTCCAATATTACCATATTATTCGATTTCGTTTGAACACTGGATGAAGACCGGATTGAAGATAATGTTTCACTTTGTCATAAAGCACCAACTACATTACGATTTGTAGGAGTTTGTATGCTTTTCATATTTTGGTCTGGTACTTTTGAACAATAATCAATTGCCGAATGCGATAATTGACTATGTGCAGCATCTTTCAAACTATATGGAGAATGTGAATCAATAGTCGTGTGAACATTTCTAAATTATTTGAATTACAGAATATAAATTGATTGATAAGAAATGCATACCTTTCACTATTTCTTGAAACACGCAAAGGTGTTGAACTGTACTTCGTATTGTTCTTGAACTTGGCTGTATTAGACATGAACATTTTACAAAACTCATCATTTTCATCTTCGTTACTATTGATTGAAAGACGTGTTGGAGGTTTTAATTGAAGACCAGAACTTGAACAAATAGAAGATTCATTGATTGAAACAGTATCCACTTCAACAGGATCGATATTATTAACTGAATCAACACTCATTGATTTAACACTTTGATCGACTGAAGCTGCAAAAACGTTTCAAATAATAATTCATATAAAAAATAAAATAAGAAGTGATAACTGACCATTTTCTTTGGTTGTTCCATTATTTTTCTTCGCAACAGATTTTGTTTTAACCACCTTCTTCATTTGATTTACTTTTATTGATGCCATGGCATGGGTATTACTAATTTATGCTAACACTACTAACACCCAACTTTGTAAAAACGCATAT